CGGAGGGTAATTGTCCGGGGGTAATTGTCCGGGGGGGTGATTGTCCGGGGGGTATTTGTCCTGATACCGTATAGGCGTCTCACGGAATATTATGTGGTTGGAAGTTTACACAACAAGCAGTGATCCGCGTATCATTGCTGGGTACTATGTGGAAGCTGTTGGGTCGAGACACGGCTGTCCGATGAAGGTACCCCCCCCCCGGGGGTCCCGGTTGTGTCCTACGGGGTTGTTTTGTGTGTGTTACTATTTCGTAATTACGAGATAGTATTTCGTAATTACGAGAAACTATTTCGTAATTACGAGAAACTATTTCGTAATTACGAGATACTATTTCGTAATTACGAGATAGTATTTCGTAATTACGAGAAACTATTTTGTAATTACGAGAAACTATTTCGTAATTACGAGAAACTATTTTGTAATTACGAGATAGTATTTCGTAATTACGAGATACTATTTCGTAATTATGAGATAGCATTTCGTAATTACGAAATACGTAATTACGAGAAACTATTTCGTAATTACGAGAAACTTATTTCGTAATTACTAGAAACTATTTCGTAATTAAGAGATACTATTTCGTAATTTCGAGATAAAAATGTTTTTTTTGTGGCACTAAAATGCTGCCGTATATATATATAGCTTAACAAATTTTTTCGTTGTTACCGTACTCTGAAGTTTTACGTTGTGTTAATTGTGTTAACGTTTGCAATTAATCGACCAGTAGTGCTACAAGGGAATGTGCTAGTTTTAAGGTGTGTCTTTTTACTCAAAACAAGTTTTCACACATTCTCAAATTTCAATAAACAGACTACGCGAAAGGGTTTGGAGGAAAATACGGAGTGGAAACGGACAGGGTTGACAAGTCTGCTGTCGGTTGGGACTACAAAGAAACCGTCGAGAAACACGAATCACAAAAAGGTGGTGATATTGAAGCTTCTGTAACAGTTAGCAAGGCATTCTAGCAGCCCAGCCGATCACTATCGTCTGTCGGACGTGAAAAACGGAAACGAAACACTACCGATTTACATCTCTCAGTCGTGTGTGGGGAAAATAATTTGCACAACGCTCACTCATGTATGGGGTAAAATCCATTCAGTGCAGTATGGGTAATGATAATGCAAGGTTGTCGGAGCTCAAGAATCGATGACACCTCCCCCCCCCTCACACACACACACAAGCAAGTATGCTCGTCACAAATATATCTATAAAGAGATTACGCGCGTGCTGCATATAATATCAAGAGCCCATTAACCCCAGAGCGTACAACGCTGAAATAGGAAAACCATGGTGTCGTTTCAGCAAAATTAATAAAGTTTACCTACCTTATTTTGATACTTCTCTACCGGAATATTATGCAGGAGTCATAGCTAGCCAATATAAGATCAACCGCTTGTTTCTACGATGTTCCTATGCCGAGATATAAAGCGATAAAAATCGAGTACTTCTAGGTCGCGGGACGCGTCAGCGCGACGGCGCGGGCGGCCCGCCTCCGCGCCGCGCCGCGCCGCCGGGCGGGCGCATCGACGCGCGCGCGCCCGCGGCACCCGCCGGGCCCCGCGGGCACGGGGCCGCGGGGGCCCGGTGTCCCGCCGCTGATCACCCCCCACTCCCCCCCTCTCCCCCACCGGCTCGCCCCGCGCCCGGGCGTGCGCAGCCCGGCCCGGCCCGACCGCCGCCGCCCACCCCTGCGTCGAGCCCCCCGAGGGGCCGCGCAGCCCCGGCGCGAGGCCACCCGGGGCCGCCGAGGGCCCGACACGGCAGGCGGGCCGGCGCCGCCACTGACCCCCCCCCACGCGGGGCGCCCCGCAGCAGCGGGGGGCACACCCGCCGGCGCGGGCGCGCACGGCCCGCGCGGCCGCCCGCCGGCCCACCCCGCTGCGGGCGGCACGGGGTCCCCCCAGGGCCCCCCGGCCCCCCCGGAGCACGCCGGCGCCCCGGCGCCCCGCGGGGCCGCGCCGGCCGCCGCCCCCCACGCGACCGCCACACCCCCTCCGGCAACGCCCCACGCCGCGCACGCGGCAGGGGCGCACCGGCCCGCCGGGGTTGTGCCGGCCGCCCCCACACCCGCCGAAAGCGGAACCGCTCAAGGGTGGGACCGCACACGCACGCACAACCCCAGCGCCCAGACTCAGCGGACCCCCCCGACAGGGGGGTGTGGTCCTGAGAGAGAGATTGTTGGCAACCTGTGTAGCACTGCCCATCCTATAAGTCCATAAGCAAACATCTGCGCCCACTGAAGCTGCCAATTTTGGTTAATGTCAATGGATTCGTTCGATCTTTGGCTGCCACATTCTGAACCAATGCGTGATGAATTGCAGTATGAAACGCCAACGCCATGATGAATACAGTCGGTGTCATTCGCGAAGCTATTACAAACTGCTGGCATATCCAGTCTGCTGCAGCATGCGAGCCAGCGTGAAGTAGAGCAGTCGACCAGTTCTGCTTTCCTCGTGTGGTACTTTGAAAGCTCAGCAGCCTCCTGGTGTCCTTGCCGCTGGTGATTTTTAACACTGTGTTTTACAGTTTGCGTGTAAAGACTCCTGTTTGTCGGTTGTTAGCAATAAGGACCTTTCCATTCAGGATGCTTGGCGTGTAATCTGCGTTTACTCGATATCGCTCACCAGAAGATGAAATGAGGAGTAGACTTATTCCCAAACATGGGCCAAGAGAAGCTTTCCATTTGCCTTCACAATTTGCGTGCCTGTTGATGTTCTTGAGCTTCAGGTCAAGTTCCTCTCCTCTGGCGAGCCTTTCACAGTTTTCTTGATGATTGTATCTTGTGTAGGTGTCGAAGACGATGCGGATCCTGTCACTAGTGGCTGCCATCATTCAGCTGCATGACAAGACAAACTGGCAATTCCTCAAGTTGACTTGATCCCTTTTCACCTTTGGAATTGATGCTCATCGTCCAGTCTATTATTGGTTGCAGAATGATCAGGAAGTTTGTCAGCGTTTTTTGGTTGACGGGCATTCTTTCTGCTAGATAACTAGCAAGAGCAGCCTTGCCTGGTTTTTACAGTGAAGACCTTCTGAGGTGCGCAGTGCCCATGGTAAGAGACCAAGCAGGATGGGATTCAGCTACATCAGCCCATTTGCAGATTCTCGTCCCTGTGCCATCAGCAATGATGCCGCACCAACAATGGCCTCTGTCAGCTCTTGAAGAATCACGGGGGATCTGCCACTCATCTGCGACTTTTTTCTTCTTGCATGAAATTGCTGATGGTCTTTCAGTTTAGTTCATTTTCGATGGGATCATGAAAGGCGTCTGCTGTTGGGTGGGTCCGTCTCGAGTCTCTCAGCTTTGAAGGTCGGTGTAGCGATTGAACTCCAATGGTCTCTGGCGATTTCTTCAAATCGAGCAGATTCACTTGGGGGCTTTTGGCTGTCCGAGATACTGATAAGTTCGTGCGGCTCTTTCAAATTGGTATTTCACCCAGCCTCATTCACAAATGTACGGATTGTCGGAAACAGCATCCTATCTTCCTCACAGCGCGTCCTTGTGCAGGTCAGCATGCTGAACATTTTGATCCATCTTCATGCTACCATTTCCCTCGTCTGACCAAGAAAGGCCCTCCTGTGTTCTGCCAGAATGTAATAGCCTTGACTGTCTGATTTCAGACTAAACCTTTGTTGTGCCTGCCTGGATGTTGTGTGCCCGTTGGTGGCACATGTGACTTCAGTCGTTTGGGTTACCGGAATGCGGTCAAAGATTTGTGACGAGGATAGTTGAACAGAGAAGGCAAAACCACTCAAGAAAGCTGGTACACAGCCTGATGATTGGCTGCCAGATTGGTCATCTCAGCAGGAATACCGCCCGTCCAGGTGAGAACCGGTATCTCGCATACGTTACCAATCTGCGCTCGTACGCTCCACGGAAACACACCACGGGGGGACGTCCATGTTGTGGATAGCCAAAGAGATGCAAGACCAGATGTTCTCTTCCTTGAGCAGTCACTGCTCGGAAGCAGGGCAAGCAGTGAGACGTTGTTCAAACTATGTCCACATAAGACATCCAAAAGGCCTGACGACGCTCCGAGTCCCGTTTTCATGGCGAAGCATACGTCTAAGAATATCGTCGGCGTCCAAGTGGTGACCTACTCCGCTGGATTTGGAGGTTTGCCGCACGACAGACCTGTCAAGGACTCTGTCTCGTTCTGGTCACAATGTCATTGCTACCAAATCCCGACCACCGTTCCTTGCTACAACCTGCGACAGGCGTTCACTGTCTGTCGCTCTCCTCGTTCTGCTCTCTCGGTTTTCGTCAACCTTGGCAACTGGAATGCCTCCTGCTCAGGTCTACCCCATGAGATGTGCCTTCGAGTGACGACGAAAGCTGTGGTGCACATACACTGCCTCGGTTGTGACATCTTCCCAGAAAACACACTTGGCAAGTGAGGCCATCTTGTGAAATATTGTACAGAACGTGCAATAGTGAATTTTTGAAGTCAAAGCCGATTCGGCCACTTTTTCAACTAAATTAACATATTTCCTATGTCGATATAGTATCAGAACAAACTCTAGTGCTGGAGCCAGATTTGCTACCATAGAGACTTTCGTTGAAATATTAATGTACAAACACTGCATATTACCATACCTACCATCGGATACTTAGCTAATACTCAACAAACATTAACCTCACAAACGCTAAAATGTCAAAACTCTATGTTTTGCCTTCAATATATTCACAAAATTAGGGTATGTTGAAACTGTTTGCCAAGATGATGTGCCACAGTACAACCACCATATTACAAAGTACATGTATACTATCGTCATGCAGTGGGTCTTTGTGAAGATTTTTGATGGCCCGTCAACTTATGTTACCTGTGGCGAAGTTTTCATGTTCGTGAATTATGGGACAGAAGTGCAATGTGAATTTTGACAGTCAAAGCGGATTTCGGCCACTTTTTCACTAACATTTAACATCATTTTTAGATCATTATATCACAACTTTGACACAATACCCCCACGAATGTATCTATATTATTATTGCTATATTAGGTTGGCTCCAGGTATGCACTATGGATTGGAACTCTGTGTCGCTTAAAAAATATTTAGTTCAATTTTACCAAGATAACACATATTTTGGCGAAGCAAAGAGGTGGTATCAATAGCGTAGTTGGGTGATAACACAGAGCGATGCTCGAGAGTTATTATCACGCTATTCACATTTTTTGTCATATCTAGCGGACATATATCTTGCTAAAAATCACAATGAGCTTACCCATCTGTATGCGTACCGACCAACCCCTTGGCTGCCATAGCCTATTATACACAACAAAAGGAGCTAGGATTACCTTAGGAC